CTGTTATTATACAAAGAAGTCAGACAGGACAGAATACACACATAAAAATGAGAAGGGGATTCAATGAATGTATAATCTGAAATAATATGCCTGAGTAGATCCCCTGAAAAAGAATTGAGAACAAGCAGGCTTAAGGAAAAGCAAGCAAACAAGCAAGATAGATTTCTGAAAGAGGCAGCTGAGATGAATAAGCTAAATAAAAAAACAAAGGCTAAATAAAACATTCCTTTTTCTGGTAAAATACCTAAAAATGAAAATATAAAACATAAGCTCTAGCTTACTCAAATAAAAACGGCACATGGAATACTTATAAGTAACTCATTAAACCAGTACACAGGAAAGATTGTCGGAGAGTTTGGGAAATAGTATTAATATGGTTTCGGTATGTCTTTTCCTAGTTAACTTTTACTCATTCTTCAGATGTTGTCTCAAACTTAACTTCCTTAAGTTTCCCAGTTAAAAGCTTTTATAGCAATGTGTATCTACAGCTTTATAATTATTACTTTATGGTTTATAATTATATATAACGTGTGATTTACGAGTGACCATGAGCCTCCCTCCTAGACTATAAGCTCCACCATTATATCCCTGGGCCTTAAAAGTACTCAATCAGTATTTCCTGGAAATTAATATTAATGAGGTTTTGGAAAGGCTTTGTTTAATTGTTAAGAAGAAAGTCTCCTAAGTCTTTAATCATGTGTCAGGGACACAGAAAATGATACCTTATCAGTTTATTTTGACTTCAAGTTATTTATTGCCTTCTCTTGGGTCCTTGAAGGATAGGAGTAGAGTGATTAAAATAACTCTAAATATACAACAATAAGGCACAGACTTGGAATCAACTGTCATTCAAACAAGTCTGGGATTTACTCGCTTTCACTCAGTCTTCCTTAAGACTCATGGCATGAATTTAAAAATACATGTAGTTCAAAGAGCCTAGAGATTGTGACAACAACAGAACAAAGTAAACCTGTCTGGTACATGCAGAGACTAAATCTACAGGCTCGAAGTGGAACTTAGCACATAATAGACATCCAATAAATACCTGTTGAATGAATCAGTGATTTAATACATTGAGCTACCCAATTTCACACAATAATTACAACCTCCACTTTGGGGTTATTTTTGTTTTATTGACTCATATCCCTGGTCCTTACACATTACTCACTCAATTAGTATTTCCTGAATAAATGGATAAAGAAATAAAAGATGATGATATACCATTATATAGAGAGAGGATTTTTTGTTTTATTTTAAAATATTTATTATTATGTTGTTATTTTTAATTCATCACCATATGTTATCTCAAATTTTCTTGGCTCCATCATCCCTAGATCTGCATCTTTAATATTTCTCTGTTCATGAATTCTACCAATGTCTCACCTACTACGTTTTAAGTTCACTGAGAAGTAGGCCATACATTTTTCAGTTTCATCTCCTTACACTGAATAACATGGTACTTTGCAAAAATGAGTTTCTAGCAAATGCCTGTCATATAAATAAATTAGAGAAATAAAACTGGGCACTTTCCCATTAATAGTAAGATCTCTCTGGAGCACTTCTGTCTTACTACATGTATTTTTGTTTTATCATATACAAAAATAAAGATTTGCATCTACATTTACTTATCAAATGGAACAATGCTATGTGAATCTCTATGAAAATCTATCAACATTTATGACACAAAATAAACAGTTTCAGGAACAAATTCTAAATATGTTTAGGTACTAACTCCGCTATATCAAACACCCTACCCAGGCTGGTAACTATGGAACTGGTCAGTGACTAATGCTAGAATTACACTGAGATTCAGATGTTCCTAGATATGCTTAATATTATTTGGCTTTATGAAATTAATATATTTAGTGTCCAATAAAAAGTACAACACTTCTTGCTTGAAGAGTTAAGACAAAAGATAGATACTCACTGCTAGAATAGTAAAAAATGTAAAAATTGAAAGTATCCGTGTCCATCTTGATCATTCATAATGTTCACATAATGTTCACAGCATGCAGAGTTTCACCACATGTTAAAAAGTAACTGTGTGATGCATACAAAAAAAACCCAGCTTCAAAATAATTGCCATCCTACACTACAGTTGACAGAGACAATGTTGCTAAAATACCATTATTTGTGATTGATGAATACCTCAAACTTAAATATATAAATTCTAAAACAACACTTTCATTATTATTTAAATTTCACAAATAAATCTCATGGAAACCAAAAAGACATTTTTTAAATTAACTTTCCGAATTACATGGATATTTCTTACAAAATACATTTGTATTTTTTCTCAGATAAACTCATCAAACAATGGCAAAAATTTTTACCTAATATTTCCATAGCACTTTATACCTTATAAAACATGTATTTACTGATTTGATTCCCACAATCATGATACAGGCTGTTAACCCCATTACTTTCCAAACCACAGACCTTCTAAAATGCAGAACTGGGATGGAATCCCAAGTCTTATGATAACAAGTTCAATGCTTTTTTCATGTTATTTGGTATTTTTCTCATTTTCTAAAATCTCAATTTCCTTATGTCTTCACCTCTTAGGACACCTATCCCCTCATTTATGTACAGCCTTTATAATCTACTATTAGATTATAAACTCCTTGATTGAACTATAATAAGCAACCATTAAATATCTGACAATGAATTCCCCCATTTATTGGCCCTTTCAAGCAACATGTATATGAGGAAGGAAATGGGAAAATTTTAGCTCATGGAATATTTACCCACACAAAATGAAAAAGAATAAAAAACTCTCCCAAAAGTCTAGATCACCTCAAAACTCCTATTTTCTACTGACTGAAGAACACGTTATATAGTAAGAATTAACTAAATAAAATTAGGCAGTGGAAAACCTGAGACATTTACAGAAATGCAAGCACTCTCATCCTAAACAGAGATCTTTGCAAAATTTCAATGACAGAAAGAAGCTGAATAAAATCTTCAAATGTGAACCTGCAACAAAGTCTTTTCAGGATCTATTATGCTGTTCATTTTAGTCACTTAAAGTGAAAATATTAAAGACAAGTGGTAATTTGCAAGTAGACCCCTTCCTTTTTGTTTCTAAGAATACTAATTTAAATTCCTACAGTTACATTTTAAACTATAAGTGGTAATAGGGAAATATTTCAGTCTTGTTTAATGTATGACATATTTTTAAAATGGTAACTCTCAGAGCTTAGAAAATAGAGGGAGACATTCACATAAATTTTAGTTTATACTTTACCTATGACCTTTCCTTCTACAATTTGTATACCGTTTTATAAATATTGCTAGCACGGTCACAGGTTGGAATAGGGAAGCTTGTCTACATCCATAACTTAAAGGCACATACAAATTATAAAAGAGTTTGCCAAGGAAATGAGGAATGACATATTACTAGAAACAGTAGGTGGGATGTATGAACATAGGAAAATATGATTTTGAAGTTGCGGTCTGAATACTACACAAAATTAACAAGGCTATGAAAATTATAATATAAACCTTAATGGATTTATTCCTTTTATAACCCATCTGAATGGCATCTATTTTCATTTAAATATAATTTCTAGATGTGAATATATGAAATGCCACTGTATACTCTGAAATGGTTACTTTCATGGTATGTGAATTTCACCTCAGAATTATAGATATATATACATTAATACATACATATCTACCTAAAACCCTCTGACCTTTATCTAATGATAATGGTTCCATCTTTTTGTAAGATAATTAGTATTATTCCAGTGCCTGGACATAAAATGAAATCTTAGACAGCCAGCTTGAAAATGCACACTATTTGAAATGCTGGAGTAAAAAATGACAAATAGAGGCCTTCATATACCAAAATTACTAAAAATTTTTCCGTGGGTAAAGTTAAACAAAATTTTGAGATTACTCTTCATCTGTTCAATGCTTAATCAAAAATATAACAAACATAAGTAGTTTAGCAGTACTTAAAGTTCAATAAATGAATTAGTATTAGAAGAAACAATGTGAATAAATCAGTTTAAAAATTTTTCATCTATTTCTATTAGTTTATTAATGCCAATAACCTAAATTAATAATAAAGCTAATTCAACTATCATTGTCCCACTTATTAAGGAATTTCATTATCCCTATTTAACAACATATTTCTTAAAATCTCTCATGATACTTTTTTTTTTTAATTTTATTTATTTATTTGAGAGAGAGCACAATCTGGGGGAGGGTCTACGTAGAGGAAGAGGGAAGAACAGGCTCCCCACTGAGCAGGGAGCCTGATGCAGGACTCGATCCCAGGACCCTGGGATCATGACCTGAGCTGAAGGCAGACACTTAACTGACTGAGCCACCTAGGTGTCCCTCTTCTAGTACATTTTTGACAGCAATTTCAAGGGCCAATTTTAGGAGCATAAAAGGAAAAATTGTGATAATCATATTTTTAGTTTTTATTTTAAAATAGCTTTAATGTTCAAGTTTAACCTAAAATATTTTAAATGTTTAACTTAAAATATTTTAAATGTTTAACTTAAAATATTTTAAATGTTTGGAGCACTGGGTGGCTCTGTCAGTTAAGCTTCGGACTCTTGATTTTGGGTTAGGTCATGATCCCAGGGTTGTGACATGAAGCCCTGCATCGGACTCTGTGCTCAGCTAGGAGTCTGCTTGAGATTCTCTCCCTTCCTCTCCCTCTGCCCCTCCCCCTGCTTGTTCTCTCTAAATAAATAAATAAAATCTTTAAAAATATGTATATTTTAAATGTTTATATATTTAAATTTAAATTTATAACAACTATTTTTAATTTATAATACCTTAAAATACATATGTCCTTAATACATTGATCAGCATTTTAGTGAATTTTGACACACTGTATTGAAGGAATTCAGAAAAAAGTAAAATTAAGTACTAAGCATAAAATGTTATGGGCATTTATCACAAACTATTCATTATTTTACTCTAATTATAGCAAAATGAACGACATCAAAATATACATATAAACTAAATTGGAAACGTACATCAACAAATTGTATGATAAAGTGTCTCCTTTGTCCATCAGAATATACAGAAAGGACATATTCACCAGGTTTCCCATGACTCTCTCGCACCAAGAAGTCTCCTTGCTGTTTTAATAGATCTTGCGCTTCTATTCTGGGAATTGCTCCATGGTACCAGTCCTGTTCTGCCAGGGGCTTCTCACTTACAGGGATGGTATCAGAGAACTTGAGCAAACATTGAGAAAAAATAAATAAATAGTAAGTTAGAGAAAATAGGAATTCTTCCTGGTAAAACTGATAGCAATTATAAATACTTCTTACATACGTTCCTCTTTTTAATCGACCAATTAAAAGTTTCATGATGAATCTGAATTTTTATAATATTTAAAGAAAATATCTCTTGGAACACTGGTGCTGAAGTTTAGCTCAAATACATATCTTTCAATACTTTGAGTTTACTTGTTTATTCTATCATATATAGATGCACACAATATTAGCATTCAGTGTTAGAATTTATAGTCTTATTCACCATATTATAAAAGAAATCCATATATTTAAAATTTACCAACCAGACAATTATGATAGAAGGGGGTCTTATCAGAGAAATTTGTCACAAAACAATTTCATTTTTATTCAAATTAGAAGTTAATTATTTTTATGGAATAAACTTTCAATGACACAGGCTGTAGACTGCCCATGTCATATGTTCCAGAAGCAATACTGAAGGCATCATTTGATGCTACCTTGCTGCTGTGCCTTCCCATTCTTACCCTCATTCCCCTGACTGCCTTATCCATTATCACTGCCACATGGCTGGTCCCAATCCTGCATAGCAACGGCCAGCAAAGCCATAGGAGAAATAGCATCACTGGAAATCACCAACACAAAATTATAAACAAGTGGCAAAAACAGGAGAGGATTATAAGCCAGGACTATGGCAGGAAAAGCAGATCATCTGTTATTTTAGGAGACCACATGCTAATATCAATTAACAGATAACTAAGGAGTGAGTTAGATGTCCTTGAAATGTTTCTAATTAATAATAGATGGAAGCACATTTTCTAGTTACAAGTAAAAAGTGTGTTATTTGTTTTTATCATCCAAAGAACTAAACTGCCCCAGATTGTTAAGAGTACTATATGGGTAAGGTACAATAATGTGCACTAACTCTTAAGATACTTAGAATACAGTATGCACAATGTCTCATGAGAAAGTAATTTATAAATTGGAGAAATTAGAATTAATAATAAATGAAAGGCAAATATTCACACATACGGTATCTCAGAATGATGTTATGAACTCTATACAGGGAAAAAGTGTGATATCTTTGCGGTAAATGAGAACTAGTTCTGAAGATAGCCTTCATCGTTTTGTACCTAGGAAGAAGCCCAAAACTTGTAAGTCAAAGTTCCATTTTACATTATCCAAAACCCATCCTACTGATTTAAAAAAAGAAACTTGAAAAATCCCAAATGGACTTCAAAGAAGAGCTCACATTTTGGTTTCTACTTCTTCCACTTACAATACACTTAATTACTTAAATATATATATGGTATGACTTACACAGAAATTTTTTGTAAGCTAAATAAGGCTTTTCTTTTAGTACAAATTATGATAAATATAATACTTCAAAAACATTTTAATCAGTGTTTCCAAAAATAGATTTAAAGAACAAATTATACAGAGAACCAGCCACAAGTATGAGGTAAAAACAAATGCATAATGCACACAAAATTAAATTTTTGCGTATACTAACAGTTTATAATTCCTTTTTTTTTTTTTAAAGATTTTATTTATTTATTTTGACAGAGAGAGACACAGCGAGAGAGGGAACACAAGCAGGCGGAGTGGGAGAGGGAGAGGGAGAAGCAGGCTTCCCGCGGAGCAGGGAGCCCGATGCGGGGCTCGATCCCAGGACCCTGGGATCATGACCTGAGCTGAAGGCAGACGCTTAACGACTGAGCCACCCAGGCGCCCCTAACAGTTTATAATTCTTAAAATAGGCAGTCAAAATTATTAAATATATCTTTTCCAAAATTTTATCACACTGTATCTCAGTATAACACCAAATTTTTTACTGTAATAGAAATATTTCCAAGTGTTTCCAATGGCAAAATTGTTTTATTGATTTTTTCTCAGAGAAATAAAAAATTCAATGTCACCTTGCAAAGAATTTGTTTTCATCATTATCTTTCAAGAAGGTCTACATATTAGAAAGGCATCACAAACAAGGATGTCATGTGCTTGATTTCTTGTCCTATTCAACCTATCCTCCCAAATGTTGATTTATTTAGAACAGTAAAATGCAGAGCCTGGAGAATTCATTAAGTCAGAAGGGCATCTGAAGTATAAAAGCTCAGCTAACACTGAGAAATTCATTTAAGGATTTGAATGTGAAGAATCTGTTTGGGGGAAAAATCATCCTGAAAGAACATCTGTATTTGTTTATTTGCTTTAAAAATGAAGTGAATGGGAAGGAACTTACATTACTATATCACAGGGATTACACAACAGTTCTCTGGATTTATTAGTTTCTTTGAAATAGAGATCTGATACCGTTATAAAGTGTAAGCTGGGGGCACCTGGGTGGCTCAATCGGTTAAGCATCCGAATCTCGATTTCAGCTCAGGTCACGATTTCAAGGTTGTAAGATTGAGCCTGGTTGTGGGGCTCTGCACTCAGTGCAAGTCCGCTTGTCCCTCTCCCTCTGCGCCTCACTCCCCGCACCCGCCCACCATGCCCCCTGAGCATGTGTGCACACTCTCGCTCTCAAATAAATAATGATCTTTAAGAAAAAAAAAGTGTAAGTTGAACAGTTTGTGAGTGTACGCGTAAGTACATGTGTGTGCCTACACATACACAGGGGAAGGCCCTACATATGCCCGGTCTGGGTGTATCAGGTTTTACAGGAACTTCTCTGCAAGCATTGGACGGAACATTTTTATTAACATGATTTCAATTAAATTCCAACACAATTCGGCAAGCTTGTTAGTAATAGAATGTAGAATGCATCAGCAACAAAATCCAACATCCCAAGAACCACCACAATTACATCAAAAAGGAAATGAAGCTTTTTACTTCAAATATCATATCTTTCTAATCCTCAGCAGGGAAAGATTTTTCCTTGTCAGTAAGTTATCTAAGATTTTTGCCCAAGATATGGGGGGAGTGGTTTCTTTTTTGAAGTTATAGTTAATCTAACACAGTTAATTAGTTATACTTAATAAGACAAGCTTTCCTGATTGACTGGGCTAGCTGTTTAGTTATTTTACCTGGGCCTTATTCTTAAAGAACATTCCAGTAAAAACATATTGGGCTTAGTGAAATAAAAAGATTCATTTAAGTGAAGAGGCAATGAGGAGTCAGTACTAGAAAATGAAAATATTTTGGGGGGGGGAGGGGAGAATAAGGGCCTATTTTTTTTTCTTAACCTATTCAGCCTAATTTCCAAGTATGTAATGAAAATTGGTATGGCTTTACTTATTTCTTCAAAGATTTTATTTATTTATTTATTTGAGAGAGAGAAAGAGTGCACACACTCAAGTGGAGGAAGGGGCAGAGGGGAAGGGAGAGAGAGAATCTCAAGCAGACTCTGTGCTGAAAGTGGAACCCAATGTGGGGCTCTATCTTACAACCCTGAGATCATGACCTGAGCCGAAACCAAGAGTCAGAAGCTTAACCGACTGAGTCACCCAGGGCCCCAAATTGTATGCCTTTATTGCAAACATTTCAGTGCAAGATGAGCTCCTTTTTGAGAGGCCAAAAAAAATGTTAAAAAAAAAAAAAATCAGGGCAGCCATCAAAAGGAATGAAATCCTGCCATTTGCAATGACGTGGATGGAACTGGAGGGTATTATGCTGAGCGAAATAAGTCAATCAGAGAAAGACACGTATCATATGACCTCAGTTATATGAGGAATTCTTAATCTCAGGAAACAAACTGAGGGTTGCTGGAGTGGTGGGGGGGTGGTAGGGATGGGGTGACTGGGTGATAGACATTGGGGAGGGTGTGTGCTATGGTGGGCGCTATGAATTGTGCAAGACTGTTGAATCACAGACCTGTACCTCTGAAACAAATAATCAATATATGTTAAAAAAAAAAAAAAAGAAGATAGCAGGAGGGGAAGTCTGAAGGGGGGGATATTGGAGGGGGAGACAAACCATGAGAGACGATGGACTCTGAAAAACAAACTGAGGGTTCTAGAGGGGAAGGGGGTGGGAGGATGGGTTAGCCTGGTGATGGGTATTAAAGAGGGCATGTATTGAATGGAGTACTGATGCAAGAATTTTTATTTTTATTTTCCCTTATTTCTCATTTTTCTACATCTTAGTGTCTGGGGAGCAAGAATGGCTAGAAGGAGGGGAGGTAAGTTAAAACCTTAGGAATAAAGAAAGACAACTAAGGTATAAAATATATAGTATTTAACCTGAATTTAACAACATGCCTTGTTAAAGGAAGTACAAGGTTGCTCTGCTAGGCTTGAAGGAGAACGCTAACAACAACAAGCAGTATATGATGTTATGCATGAAAAGAACTATACTTCCCTATGCCAATGGTGGAAGCCAAGCATTCTTGGCTGTAATACTAACATTACAATGATGTACAACTTAAACATAGCTGAATTACAATTTTCTTTTTTTTTTTTTAGATTTTATTTATTTATTTTGAGAGAGAGAGAATGAGAGACAGAGAGCATGAGAGGGAGGAGGGTCAGAGGGAGAAGCAGACTCCCCGCCAAGCAGGGAGCCCAATGCAGGACTCGATCCCGGGACTCCAGGATCATGACCTGAGCCAAAGGCAGTCGCTTAACCAACTGAGCCACCCAGGTGCCCTACAATTTTCTAAATTTCTAAAAAGAGGCAAGCTAGCAAATCTTATTTACAATAAGATTATATATTATTCTATATAATGGAAGCATTTCTTTATCGTCTAATATTTTTATTTTCTAAATTCTAGTACAAAGTAATTCTAAAACTGAAATAACATATATGCCAATACAGTATAGAAAAGTAAGAATTTTAAGGAAGGAAGAGTTGAATAATTTTTTAAGTAGGCTTCATGCCCAGCATGGAGCCCAACATGGGGCTCAGACTCACGACCCTGAGATCAAGAGTCGGATGCTTAACCGCCCGAGCCACCCAGGAGCCCCAAGGGTTGAATAATTTAATAATTCTTCTGAGGTCTTAAGAACAATTATTTGGAACAAGATGTGCTTTATTCTGGT